GCACCGACCGACTCAAGACCAACGAGGTCGGCCGCAGCAGCAGAGGCAACAGAGGGCAGGAGGGGGGAGGGGGAACACCCCTCAAAGATGGGGGTGCGCGGGTCACCACGAGAGGCCCCTACAGCGACTATGCTCTTCTCGGCCGCTAGGAGGGACTTCTCGAGGAGGTCAACAGTGAGAGTGGTGGGACAGACTGAGAGGAAGTGGTCCCTGACTACGCGAAGGGAGTCAGGGAGGCGAGTGACTATGTAGTAATGAGTGATGTACATGGGGGGGGGGTTCTTGGCGCAGAAGTCAGCAGGAAGCGCAGCGCGGTAGCGAGTGTCACTAGTGCGGAGGTGCGTAATGAGGTCAGCGACTGTGGGAAAGGCAGCAAGGTCAGGGAAGAGGTACGGTAGCATGAGACGGCTCAGTGCAGCAGTGGCAGGGGAGGAGTAGCGTGCAACTACAGCGTCGTACAAGGTCTGAGCACTCTTGTACTGACTAAAGTGCGCACGCTCAGAGGTAGGGAGGTGGCGACGCACAGCAAGACGTGCAGCAGCATCGCGCGTGGCCCACTGTGAGCGAACAGTGGCGTCAGCATCAGCAGCAGGAGCAGGAGATGCACCAGAGGTGAGGTCAAAGAGGGAGAGACCGTCTGCCCTATCGCACTGTAAGAACAGCTGCAGGTCATCTACCCAGACGTCAAAGTCAATGGCTCGACCCTCGGCGTCAAAAGCGAGGACACTAGGGGTAGCCATGACAACAGTAGACTAGCAGCGCACACAGTAGGGAAAGGGCAGTGCAGTGACAGAGGCGTTGTGCTTACCGGACGGGGCTGCTCGGGCGGCTCAGAGGTAGGGCGGCTCGGCGGCTCGGTGGCTCGGCTGCACGGCGGCTCGGCTGCAAGGCGGCTCGGCTGCTGGGCGGCTCGGCTGCAGGGCGGCTCGGCTGCTCGGCTGCTGGGCGGCTCGGCTGCTCGGCTGCTCAGCTGCTGGGCGGCTCGGCTGTGCTGCTGTACGGCGGCGCGGCGGTCGGCTGCTCGGCTGGGTGAGGCGCCTCGGGCGGTTCGGGTGGCGGGCGGCGCTGCAGCAGATGACGAGGCCGCAGGGAAGGCGGCGGGGCCGCAAGTGAGGGCGGCGGGGACCGCAGGTAAGGGTGGCGGGGACCGCAGGTAAGGGCGGCGGAGCCGCAGGTAGGGCGGGTGGGCCGCAGGTAGGGCGGCTGGGGCGCAGGTAGGGCGGCGGGCCGCAGGTAGGGCGGCTGGGCCGCAGGTAGGACGGCGGGGCGGGGCCGTAGGTAGGGCGACGGGGCCGGGTCGAAGGTAGTGCGACGGGGCCGGTACGCAGGTAGGGCGACGGGGCCAGGGCCGGGGCGCAAGTAGGGCGACGGGGCTAGGGCCGGGGCCGCAGGTATGGCGACGGGGCCAGGGTCGCAGGTGGGGCGACGGGGCCGGGTTCGCAGGTAGGGCGACGGGGCCGGGGCGCAGGTAGGGCGTCGGGGCCGGGGTGCAGGTAGGGCGACGGGGCCGGGGCGCAGATAGGGCGACGGGGCCGAGGCGCAGGTAGGGCGACGGGGTCGCTAGGGCGACGAATCAGGGGCCGCTAAGGCGGCGCGACTTGGCCGCTAGGGCGGCTCGACGAAGTCAGAGAGGGGAGCGTGACTCGGGCTGAGCGCGCTCCGGGCAGGAAAAAAAAACTTTCGACTTGGTGGGCCCTAGGCACAGTTCCCACGAGGGAACCTGCTCTGATACCATGAGAAAACTGAAACGAGAATGACTGACTGAGGAATGAAAGTGATACAAGTATGCAACCCTAGCATTGTGTACCCCATATAGGCTACCCCACTACAGCCTACACAACATTATAATTTGACAAGGGGGAATTGCATCGACATAGATGTCTGTGGACCTCAACGATGCCATCTCTGCGTCCATAGCTTCTATCCACTGAGAGACCCACGGTCCCTAGATCGCCTTAGTGTAGGTACGAGGAATCGGAATGTCAGCAGCGTCGGGGTCTCCCCTAGGGGCTAGCAACATAACCTAGAGGAGCAGCGGCCACAGGTGTTGTAGCTCAAATTGCCTATCCTCTAAAACGTTACAACCAAGGGCAAACCCACCCGAGACGGACAGAGGATGGGTAGGAGGAGCAGTTGTCAAACATGTGGCGTAATCACGGGGATGGGTGGAGGCAAAGTTAGTGACAATGGCGACAAGAGCCGCAACAAACGATGGAGACTTAGTAGTGTCACTCAGGAGGGAGGAGAGAACATAAGAAACAACAAGGTGAGCAGCTCGGAGGTTGTTGAAAAAAGGTGGAGGAGAGATAGTGAGAGATGACGCAGGAGGCAATGGGTTCCGTCCACGAAGCGACGACTTGCGAGGCCTCTATTAATTTGCAGACGCCAGCTTGCGGACGTCGTTTGGGGTCGGGGAGGATGGAATGGGGAGGGAGAGGGGGGGGGGGGGGGGGGGGGGAGGAGGGGTGGAGGGGTTGGCTTCGCCCCTTGCGTGTTTCGCTATGTTACTATCCGTGGAAGAAAAATGCAAGGGAAATGGAGTAGGGGCGAAAGCGCGAAATTGACGGGCCAAGGTTATTCTTTTCCCACCCATGGCGCAACCCCCCCCCCCCCCCCCCCCCCTCCACCCCCTCTCTCTTGCTCCTCACTCCATCGATCCGCCCAATCTACCTCAGTCTTCTCCAGCGTATATGTTACACAGAATATTAGGACTTTGAGAGGTTGTACAAGTTTGATTTGAGCAGTAGTCTCTTACTAGTTGTTACGGGTGCAATGGAACGAGGTAGCGACGATTGCACTTAGGTGTCAAACGAGTACAAGTACGAGCGAAGGCATGAGCGAATACTTATAAAAGCGAAAGTGCAAACGGTATCGCGGAACGTGCGAGCTAGCTAGTGCGACGCTGACATCGAGGTTCGATCTAGTCCCGAAGCGTAGGTCAAATCGGCCAGGCCACCGATGCATGGTTTGGCAAATTTAGCACGCAGAGGTTGGCGAAGCCCCGTTAGTAGTAATGGACGAACAAACGGTTGGTCTTGTACGCGGTGTTGAAGCACGCGGTAAGGAATGTCGAATAGACTGGCTAGTAGTCTCTTGCTAATAGACATGAGCATAGAGCGGAACCGCAATTCGGTTCGGCGCGGTTCAGTTAATTGCGAATCAAATCGCAGCCTCATTTTGTTAATTAGGTTCACAACGGGCCGAACCGGATTGTCTTCGAACCGGTTCGGCGGTTCGACCGGTTCGGTTTTTTGCTTTCATCTAGGGGCAGAGGGGAAGGGAAAGGTGATTAGGGGGCCCAAATGGCTGGTTCGGTTCGGTTCGTTCAGTTCGGTTTTAGCACAATAATACCGAACCTCGAACTGGCTTGACTTCAGGACGGTTAGGAAAGAACCGGTTTGGTTCGTTTACGATTCGGTTCGGTGAACGCGCTAATGTGTACGAACCGGTTCGGTTTGGTAATGTGCATACAGATGACTGTCCAGACTTCCGAGGATGTACCACGCCCTTGCATCAATGATCCCGTGATGCAAACCCAGCATCACCAAGAAATCGGCGGGCATTGCCGAAAACGATTTCCGATGGACGGTTATCGGACCACAACGACCAGTAACCAGATTAGACGAAATACCTAACGAAACTTCACTCCCTTATCCACAGACCCTTTCCACCTTGTTTCTTCCTTCCCATCCCAGCCAGATCGCTCCAACCAGAGCCCGGCCATGGCTGCTTCGCCAGGTTATTTTTGACATGGCTGGTGGCTTCTATCCATGATGCTCGGCGTAGAACACAGTAGCCGTTTAGCCTTTCGGAAAAGAGGCTGTCATGTTAGCGGTTGCGAGATCTCGTTGCGACGGCGTGGGAGGTGGTGATGATGTTCCCGCTTGGCTCGGCTGTTTCCGTCCAGATACGACGCCTTGTGCAAGGAATTACGGAAAGCAATCATAAGGCCGTTGTTTCTGAGCTTAGTCAGGTAGGCTTGTCAATTGTTAACATTATGCATTAGGCTTTCATTAACTTCACAAAATAAAGATAAGGTTAGGGTACGTTTATGGAGACGTATTCTAACTTTTCACCAATCTGCTGTGTGTTTTCGCCGGTTTTCCAGATTGCAGATCTAGCAGGACCCGAGGCGAATCAGCTTATTCTTCGTTCCTGTCTGGACGTTCTCTTTAGCGACGACCAAGGCGGTCAGAGCGTGGAATTGAAGCATCACCTGTTAGCATCCACGTTAGAGTGCCTTTCTCGTAGATCCGATTTTCCGACAACCGTAGCTCGAGCTTTAGGTAATTTCTCCGAACCTTACAAGGGTTTCTTGAAGATATCGCTCGCGATTATTAGTCTTCCTGTCGCTGTTCAGCTCCGCTTAGGCGTTGGTCTCGCTGACGTTGGTTCTCCATTTTGGAAGGAAGAAGGTAATATTTGTTTCTCTCGCTATCAGTTTTGCGGTTAGTTTCTCTTAGCGCGACAATTTCTTCCACTTGTTATCGATTACAATATCTCTTAAGGCATGTTCGTATTGTGCAGCTCTTGACTTAATCGACTGCGTGATTGGCGGATTGCCTGAAGCCGAGGTTTCTGCACTACCAGGCGATTTGTTCTGGAGCGTCTTTCTCACGTGTTCGTCTTATCCGAAGCTCAAGGAGCACTCTCTCATCTTGGAGGAATCGCTCTGCTGGCGTCTTACCAGGGATCCGTTCCCGATTTACCTCCTTCCGTTCCTAGAAAGGAGCGGTTCGCTCGGGAAAGATTTCGTGTACGTTTTCTTTCTGGCGTGCGTTCTTTCGGAAAGGGATTGGATTTCAGGCAAACGCCTTATCTTTCGTTTGTACACCATTTTAAGGTCTCTTAACAACCTCGTTCCTGCGACGTTTGTTTTGCGCAGTGACCTGCCTCGGGATTGGTCCGCCTTCGTCAATTCCATCATGGCTTCATCTTCCGCGTCCGCTTCCGGTTCCGGTTCCGCCTCCGGCTCCAAGGCGAAAGACATGGCGACGGCGATGGAGGAGCTAGGGTTTGGCTGCACGGACACGGTGGAGCACTGCAAGGCCGTGCTCAAGGAGCACAGCGCCGGCAGCAGCATCAGCGAAGCGGACGTTGCGCGGGTCATGGGAGTGGTGGCGAAGGGTTCCGTGGAAACTCGTGGCGGGGGTGGCGGCGCTGGGCCGCTCACGTTCTGGAACGTGGATGTGCTGGTTGAAGCCATTGTTCAGCTGGTGAGTGTCTTCAGCTGGTGAGTGTCAGGACATGGCGACGGCGATGGAGGAGCTAGGGTTTGCGTGCACGGACACGGTGGAGCACTGCAAGGCCGTGCTCAAGGAGCACAGCGCCGGTAGCAGCATCAGCGAGGCGGACGTCGCGCGGGTCATGGGGGTGGTGGCGAAGGGTTTCGTGGAGACTCGTGACGGGGGTGGCGGTGCTGGGCCGCTCACGTTCTGGAACGTGGATGTGCTGGTTGAAGCCATTGTTCAGCTGGTGAGCGTTCGTCCATGCACCGTTCTGAGGCGCCTCAAAAGCGCGGGTCATGGGGGTGGTGGCTGAGGGGTCGGTGGAGTGGAGACTTGTGGTGGTGTTGCTGGGGCTATCTTTTGAGACGCGTAACAAAACGCGTCCTCCGCTAACCCTCGTTTCTCTCCACCACCCGGTTGTGCGCTGCTGAGGCAGGCACCGAGCCTGTTTTTCAGGCGAAAATATAGCGCGTCGTCTTTTGTTCCAACATTCTTTCTTGCGTGTGTGAGGCAGGCTCGAAAAGTAATTTAGAGACTCTTATATCATTGCGTTTTTTTCTGTAAAAGCAATCCCCTGTTGTGCACCCCTGAGGCATGCACCGAGGCTGAGCTGGTCGTCGGTGATCAATCGTCTGGACTACCCGGGGTTCTTTGCCAGGGATCACCAAGGGCTTCGTTAACCCATCTCTTTCGTTCAACATCCTTTCTTGTGTGTGTGTGTGAGCCAGGCACCGAGGCTGAGCTGGTCGTCGGTGATCAATCGTCTGGACTATCCGGGGTTCTTTGCCAGGGACCACCAAGGGCTTCGTTAACCCATCTCTTTCGTTCAACATCCTTTCTTGTGTGTGTGTGTGAGCCAGGCACCGAGGCTGAGCTGGTCGTCGGTGATCAATCGTCTGGACTACCCGGGGTTCTTTGCCAGGGACCACCAAGGGCTTCGTTAACCCATCTCTTTCGTTCAACATCCTTTCTTGTGTGTGTGTGTGAGCCAGGCACCGAGGCTGAGCTGGTCGTCGGTGATCAATCGTCTGGACTACCCGGGGTTCTTTGCCAGGGACCACCAAGGGCTTCGTTAACCCATCTCTTTCGTTCAACATCCTTTCTTGTGTGTGTGTGTGAGCCAGGCACCGAGGCTGAGCTGGTCGTCGGTGATCAATCGTCTGGACTACCCGGGGTTCTTTGCCAGGGACCACCAAGGGCTTCGTTAACCCATCTCTTTCGTCCAACATCCTTTCTTGTGTGTGTGTGTGAGCCAGGCACCGAGGCTGAGCTGGTCGTCGGTGATCAATCGTCTGGACTACCCGGGGTTCTTTGCCAGGGACCACCAAGGGCTTCGTTAACCCATCTCTTTCGTTCAACATCCTTTCTTGTGTGTGTGTGTGAGCCAGGCACCGAGGCTGAGCTGGTCGTCGGTGATCAATCGTCTGGACTACCCGGGGTTCTTTGCCAGGGACCACCAAGGGCTTCGTTAACCCATCTCTTTCGTTCAACATCCTTTCTTGTGTGTGTGTGTGAGCCAGGCACCGAGGCTGAGCTGGTCGTCGGTGATCAATCGTCTGGACTACCCGGGGTTCTTTGCCAGGGACCACCAAGGGCTTCGTTAACCCATCTCTTTCGTTCAACATCCTTTCTTGTGTGTGTGTGTGAGCCAGGCACCGAGGCTGAGCTGGTCGTCGGTGATCAATCGTCTGGACTACCCGGGGTTCTTTGCCAGGGACCACCAAGGGCTTCGTTAACCCATCTCTTTCGTTCAACATCCTTTCTTGTGTGTGTGTGTGAGCCAGGCACCGAGGCTGAGCTGGTCGTCGGTGATCAATCGTCTGGACTACCCGGGGTTCTTTGCCAGGGACCACCAAGGGCTTCGTTAACCCATCTCTTTCGTTCAACATCCTTTCTTGTGTGTGTGTGTGAGCCAGGCACCGAGGCTGAGCTGGTCGTCGGTGATCAATCATCTGGACTACCCGGGGTTCTTTGCCAGGGACCACCAAGGGCTTCGTTAACCCATCTCTTTCGTTCAACATCCTTTCTTGTGTGTGTGTGTGAGCCAGGCACCGAGGCTGAGCTGGTCGTCGGTGATCAATCGTCTGGACTACCCGGGCGTCCTCGTCAAGAATCACAAGGGCTTCAGCGCGCTTTAACCCTCACTTCGTTCTACCACCCCGTTATTTTCCCTCGAGGCAGGCGCCGAGGCTGAGCTGGTCGTCGGTGATCAACCATCTGGACTACCCGGGCTTCTTTGTCAAGGATCAGAAGGGCTTCAGCGCGCTCGTGCTTATGCACTCCAAAGCTACCAAGGTATGTATGCATGCGAGTCAGTGATTCACTTTCGAGAAGTCTCGAAGGGCGCATTTTTTAGACGCCACTGTGTCTGTCGTGTCTGTCTCGTATTGTGTGTACGTTACGGTGGCTTTTGAAGGTCTTGTATACCCTGTCCATTCCACAGCCCGCCTTTCTCCGCCACGCTGTGAACGGCTTTGAAATATCTTATCTCTTGTCTCTCTCGGCCACGCAGGAACTCTCCCCCCTGCCCTCAGTATGCGGCAAGCTGTGGGCGAACGCGGAAGGGCAGCTCTCCTTCCTCCGTCCCCCGTTCAGGCGTTGAAACTGCCTCGCCTGTTCGCACACGTTCCCGTACCATTCACCCATTCCTGCTTATCCTTGCTTATCTTTTCCTGGCACCCACCGCAGGAGCTCTTCCCCCTGCCCTCAGTATGCGGCAAGCTGTGGGCGAACGCGGAGGGGCAGCTCTCTTTCCTCCGCCACGCAGTCTCCGCGCCCCCCGAAGTCTTCACCTTCGCGCACTCCCCCCGCCAAACCCCCCCCAGGTCAACCTCCACGGGCACAAGCGGAGGGGCAGCTCTCCTTTCTGAGCCTCCGGCCGAGGCACTGAGTTGGCCTCACCTTGCGAACACGTTCCCCCTCCATTCTCCCTCCCGCTTACCCTTGCGTATCCTTCCCCGGCAATCCCCACAGGAGCTCTTCCCCCTGCCGTCCGTATGCAGCAAGCTGTGGGCGAACGCGGAGGGGCAGCTCTCCTTCCTCCGCCACGCGGTCTCCGCGCCCCCCGAAGTCTTCACCTTCGCGCACTCCCCCCGCCAAACCCCCCCCATGGACAACCTCCACGGGCACAAGCTCCCCACGGGCACCCCCAACTGCGCCTGGGTCTCCCTAGACCTTCTCGAAGCCCTCTGTAGGATCGGCGAGACTGGGAGGAAGGCGGAGGTGGTGGAAGTGCTGGGGTACCCGATAAAGCACTGCCCGGAGGTGCTTATAGTGGGGCTGGCGCAGGTGAAGACGCCCGGAGGGGGGGTGATTCAGAGGGAGGTTCTGGGGGCGTTGGTGCCTCTGTATCTGGCGAATAATCCGAACTCGAGCATTGTGCTGCATGCGCTGTGGGGGGTGCCCGGGGGAAAGGACGTGGTGATGCAGGCGATGGTGGGCATGCACGCCAGCGATCCCACCAGCATTGCTCGCCTGCTCGATGTGTGCCAGGATCTCAAGGTGAGGGCGAGTTATACCGAGTATGGGCTAGGTTCTGTAACGCGTATGCATGGAGCATTGTGCTGCATGCGCTGTGGGGCGTGCCCGGGGAAAAGGACGTGGTGATGGAGGCGATGGTGGGCGTGCACGCCAGCGACCCCACCAGCATTGCTCGCCTGCTCGACGTGTGCCAAGACCTCAAGGTGAGGGGGGCTAGAGAGTGGTGCCGGGTCCATACAGAGTATGAACCGGGCGTTCTAAAGGGTATGTATGGTATGGAGCATTGTGCTGCATGCGCTGTGGGGGGAGCCCGGGGGAAAGGACATGGTGATGGGCTGTGGGTGGGGTTGGTGGGGGGAGTGCATGCTGTGCCAGCATTCTCACCCACCACCCCGCTCTACCTCTTGTGTTGATAATTTCTGAGTTAAATAGTGCTTCCACACTGTGACTAATCTGCAGGTTCTCTCGGTGGTGCTGGAGAGCACCCCCTTCTCTTTCTCCCTGGACCTCGCTTTGCTCGCCCCGCCGACCTCGCGTTTTGAAGCTTCCTCCATACCAATTCTACGTTCTACCTTTGCTGGTTGATTTGCAGGCTCTCTCGGTGGTGCTGGAGAGCACGCCCTTCTCTTTCTCCCTGGACCTCGCTTCTCTTGCCTCTCGCCGCGAGTACCTCAACCTCGAGAAGTGGCTGCAGGAGGCGCTCACTCTGCACCGCGACTCGCTCTTCAAGGTACGTTATGTGGGGCCTGTTGTGCTGCAAACACATCTCACCGCAAGCGCCTCTCGCCGCCTGTACCTGGAACCTCGAGAAGTGGCTGCAGGAGGCGCTCACTCTGCACCGCGACTCGCTCTTCAAGGTGGGATATGAACGCAGATGAGATGTTGGCACGCAGGCCTGCCTGCAATTTCGAAGAGCCAAGCTGGTGTAGAACAGCTAGGAGTCCAGATACAGCGAACCAACCTGATCTCACACTCATGCTCTACCTCTCATGCTCTCAGCCCCTCCCTTCTGACTCCCTTTTTGCTCTCTCGCGGCCTCTTCCCCTATGCAGGCGTGTCTGCAGTTCCTGAGGGCCAAGCTGGTGCAGGACAGTCAGGACGCCAGTGCACAGCGAATCAACCTTTCTCTGGAAACGCTCGCCATCTTCTTCAAGGCAAGCTTTCTCTGCTGCTCCCTCGTGTTTCCACTTGCGTTCTGCCTCCTCGTAGTCACCCCTCATCCCCTGCCGCCTCCCCTATTTTCTCTCCCCCTTTTCCCCTCCTCCCCGCCCTCTTGTCCTCTCTTCCCCGTTACGCCCTCCCCTGGCCACACCTCCATTCCGCAGGCCCTCCACGCCAACGCGCCGCAGCTGCAGGCGCCCGAGCTGGGGGACGAGCTTAAAGCCCTGTACTCGTCCGCGCTGCAGCTGCACCCGGCGCTGCAGACCGTGGCAGTGCCCGAGCAGGCCCCTGCCTACATTCTCCTCAACCGCCCTCCCTTTTCCCTACCCCTTCCCTCTCCCCATTTTCTTATCCCCCCGTTCCCCTCTCCCTCTGTTTCCTCTTCCTCCTTTTCCCTGCCTTCTCTTCCCCATTCCCCGTCACGCCCTCCCCTGGCCACGCCCTACCCTGACTGCACCCACCGCAGGTCCTCCAAGCCAACGCGCCGCAGCTGCAGGCGCCCGAGCTGGGCGATGAGCTTAAAGCCCTGTACGCGTCCGCGCTGCAGCTGCACCCGGCGCTGCAGACCGTGGCAGTGCCTGAGCAGGCCCCTGCAGACGTGTTTGCGAGCGACATAGAGGAGGAGGCGAATGCGTACTTCCAGAAGATCTACGTGGGGCAGTTGAGCATTGAGGAGGTGGTGGATATGCTGAAGCGCTTCAACGGCTCCTCCGTGCAAAGGTGGGCAGAGGAGGAGCAAGCTTGCTGTTTTAGGGTTAGGTAGGGCAGGGATTTCGGGTTTAGGGTGGTGTGGCGTGTTTGCGAGTGACTTAGAGGAGGCGAACGCGTATTTCCAGAAGATCTATGCCGGGCAGTTGAGCATTGAGGAGGTGGTGGATATGTTGAAGCGCTTCAACGGCTCCTCCGTGCTAAGGTGGGCAGGGGAGGAGCAGGCTTGCTGTTTCAGGGTGAGGGTTAGTGTTGGGATTTCGGGTTTAGGGTGGTGTGGCGTGTTTGCGAGTGACATAGAGGAGGAGGTGAATGCGTCTTTCCAGAAGATCTACGTGGGGCAGTTGAGCATTGAGGAGGTGGTGGATATGCTGAAGCGCTTTAATGGTTCCTCCGTGCAAAGGTGGGCAGGGGAGGAGCAGGTTTGCTGGTTCAGGTCTGGGTTTAGGGTTCCGCTTTCCTTTTGCCTTCTTTGACAAGTTCCGCTTCTACGAATCACCTTAACATCTGTGCCCCCTGTGGCTTCCGTTTCCCCCTCCCACTCTTGTTCGACCTGTTTTCCCCCCTCCCAGGGAGCAAGATGTGTTTGCGTGCATGATTCAGAGCCTATTTGACGAGTACCGCTTCTTCCCGCGCTACCCCGACAAGGAGCTCCGCATCACTGCTGTCCTCTTCGGTGAGTGAGACTGTCTCTAGGCTTGCTGTTCCTGGTGGAACGCCCTTGGAAGGCATGTTCTGTCGAGTATCGCTTCTTCCTGCGCTATCCCGACAAGGAGCTCCGCATCACTGCTGTCCTCTTCGGTGAGTGAGACTGTCTCTAGGCTTGCTGTTCCTGGTGGAACGCCCTTGGAAGGCATGTTCTGTCGAGTATCGCTTCTTCCTGCGCTACCCCGACAAGGAGCTCCGCATCACTGCTGTCCTCTTCGGTGAGTGAGACTGTCCCTAGGCTTGCTGTTCCTGGTGGAACGCCCTTGGAAGGCATGTTCTGTCGAGTATCGCCTCTTCCTGCGCTATCCCGACAAGGAGCTCCGCATCACTGCTGTCCTCTTCGGTGAGTGAGACTGTCTCTAGGCTTGCTGTTCCTGGTGGAACGCCCTTGGAAGGCATGTTCTGTCGAGTATCGCTTCTTCCTGCGCTATCCCGACAAGGAGCTCCGCATCACTGCTGTCCTCTTCGGTGAGTGAGACTGTCCCTAGGCTTGCTGTTCCTGGTGGAACGCCCTTGGAAGGCATGTTCTGTCGAGTATCGCTTCTTCCTGCGCTATCCCGACAAGGAGCTCCGCATCACTGCTGTCCTCTTCAGTGAGTGGCGTTTTAGCTGGTAAGAGCACAGCAATCACCCTAAAATTGCTGATGCTCTGGAAAGCGCCAGCTTGGCTTGTCTCGTCAATCGCCCTTTACCGCGCTCGACCAGTTCCACCAGCGCCTGCTCGAGTGGCCGCCCTACTGCACGCACATCCCTGAGGGGCCTCACTTATCCCTCTCTCTCCCCTCGCTCCTTCCTTTTCATTTTCATTTTCCTGTTCCCCTTTTTCTGAATTCCCACCTCTCCCAGGCTCTCTGGTAAAGCATCAGCTAGTATCATCGATTACCCTAGGCATAGCCCTCCGCTGTGAGCTAGGTGCCCTCAAGAAGCCGTCCGGCTCCAAGATGTTCTCCTTTGGCGTCCAGTTCCGCCAGCACCTCACATACCCCCCCTTTCGTACGCTCCCTTTTTCCCCTCACCCCGTTCCTCCCCCCCCTCACTTCCTCCCTCTCCCAGGCTCCCTGGTGAAGCACCAGCTAGTGTCGTCCATCACCCTGGGCATAGCCCTGCGCTGTGTGCTAGACGCACTCAAGAAGCCCTCCGACTCCAAGATGTTCTCCTTTGGCGTCACCGCGCTCGAGCAGTTCCACCAGCGCCTGCCCGAGTGGCCGCCCTACTGCACGCACATCCTGCACATCCCGCACCTGCAGGACGTGCACCCGCGCCTGTACGCGTTAGTTCAGGCTGCTGCAGCGGCGCCAGCGAGTAAAGGCGTGGCTGGGGAAGGTTTATCTGGTGCAGGCGGTGCTGCTGCTGCTGCTGGCGGTGGCGGTGGTGGTGCTGCTGCTGGTGGTGCTGGTGGTGGTGCTGCAGGTGCTGGTAACGTGGGAGGGAATGGGGAGGGTGGGGTGGTGGCAGGGGCAGGGGCAGGGGCAGGTGGTCCCAGTGCTGTTAGTGGTGCTGCTGCCGCTGGTGCGGCTGCTGGTGCTGCTGGCGGTGTTTCCACTGGTGGGGCTGGTGGGGGAGGAGGGGGTGTGGATGGTGGAGGTGCCATTGGTGCAGGCGACAAGGGGAAGGGTGCTTCTGGTGGTGGTGATACTGGGGGTGTGGGGCCTCAGGATAAGGCGGGGAAGTCAGCGGATGGTGTGGCAGGGAAGGGAGCAGTGGAGGGGAAGGATGGTGCTGGGGGGGTAACACAGGGGCAGGCGCAGGGACAGGCACCAGGGCAGGGGCAGGTGAAAGCAGAGCAAAAGAAGGAAGAGGCGGAAGAGAAGCAGGGAGAGCAGCAAGATGGGGCTGTGGGAGGGAAGGCAGAGGCAGGTAGTGCAGGGCAAGCGGCTGTGCAGAGCCCCGCGAAGGATTCCATTCTATTCAAGGTGTGTTGGCCTGTCTGGTGTTTCTTGACTTGACTAGAAAATCGCAGGGCAAGCTTCCCTGCACAGCCCTGATAAGGTTTCCATCCTATTCAAGGTGCTCCCTCGGGCCCAATGGGAGGTTCTGGAGGCTCGCAGAGTGACTGAAGCACCATCCTTGCCTCTTGTCTCTCCCTACTCTGACTCCTCTGCTTCCAGCCCTCAGGAGCGGCCTTGGCTCCAGTTGGGGGTTCCGGAGGCTTACAGAAGCTGGAGGCTCTGCGCCCGCGTGGGGGGTCAGGCTCGGGTGTGTCGACGAGTGCCTATCTCATTTCCTCCCTTCTCTTTTCTCCCGCTACCTCCCTCTCCTCCTCTGCTTGCAGCCGTCAGGTGCCGCCTTGGCCCCAATTGGAGGGTCAGGAGGCTCACAGAAGCTGGAGGCTCTGCGTCCGCGTGGGGGTTCAGGTGCGGGAGTGGCTACCAGAGCGCCTGCTGCTGGGTTTGGGCATGCGCTCAACATTGAGACGCTTATGGCTGCAGCAGAGAAGCGAGAAAGCCCCATCGAGGTGAGACTGGAAACCCCATAAGGGAGAGCCGTATTGAGGTGGCATGTCTGGTACTGGTAGTGCTTGTGTCGCTGAGAGCGCCTGCTGCTGGGTTTGGGCATGCCCTCAAGATTGAAACGCTCATGGCGGCAGCAGAGCGCGAGAGCCCCATCGAGGTGAGATAAAAAACCCCATAAGGGAGAGCCGTCTTGAGGTGGCATGTCTGGTACCGGTAGTGCGTGTGTTGGCCAGAGTGCCAGCTGCTGGCTTTGGGCATGCGCTCAAGATTGAGACGCTCATGGCTGCAGCAGAGAAGCGAGTGAGCCCCATCGAGGTGGGATTGGAAACCCCTTGGGTGGAGTTCGTATGTGAGAGAACACCATTGAGGCCAGTCAGATGCCCCTGTCAGAGGCTCAGTACAAGGTTATCAACAATGTCGCACTTGCCCCTCCATATCCGCTGTTCTTTCTGCCTAGCTGCGAATTCTCTCCTTCCCTAACCTTCTCATTCCCCTCCCCCTTTTCCCCCCAGATGCCCTCGTCAGACGCGCAGGACAAGATGGCGTTTATCACCAACAACATCGCCGTCACTCATCCTTATTCGCCCTCCACCGTCTGTCACCCCTCTTCATCTCCTGCTCATCCCCCCAGATGCCCTCATCAGACGCACAGGACAAGGTGGCGTTTATCATCAACAACATCGCGGTGGCAAATCTGGACCAGAAGGCCAAGGAGATCCTCGAGGTGCTCAAGGAGCCCTTCCTTCTTGACATGACAGTCCTTCCTCTCATCTCCCTACCCCAGATGCCCTTCCATGACAGTCAGAAGCGCAGGGCAATTTGGCGTTTTTCATCAACCCTTCCGTACCCATCCTTATTCGCTGCCGTGCCTGTTCTTTCCCTGTCTTTCAACAACCCAGATGCCCTCGTCAGACGCACAGGACAAGGTGGCGTTTATCATCAACAACATCGCGGCGGCAAATCTGGACCAGAAGGCCAAGGAGATCCTCGAGGTGCTCAAGGAGCCCTTCTTCCCCTGGTTCGCGCAGTACCTCGTCATGAAGAGGTGAGTTGCGAGGGCTGTTACTTGGTAATAGAAAGGTGAGTCTGAGAGGCCTCAAAAGCAGTGCTTGCAAGGTGCTCAAGGAGCCCTTCTTCCCCTGGTTCGCACAATACCTCGTCATGAAGAGGTGAGATTCGAGGGCAGTACCATGTAATGGAAGGGTTAGTCTTTCTGCGTTGAAGGGGCATCCTAGGAGATTCTGGAGGTGCTCAAGGAGCCCTTCTTCCCCTGGTTCGCCCAGTACCTTGTCATGAAGAGGTGAGATTCGAGGGCAGTACCTTGTAATGGAAGGGTTAGTCTTTCTGCGTTGAAGGGGCATCCTAGGAGATTCTGGAGGTGCTCAAGGAGCCCTTCTTCCCCTGGTTCGCCCAGTACCTCGTCATGAAGAGGTGAGTGTCAAACAGAACAGAGAAGAGGTCAGTTTTAGAACTTTACCTTGTAATGGAAAGGTAGTCTTTCTGCTTCTGAGGGGCCTCAGAGGCAGCACTTGCAAGGTGCTCAAGGAGCCCTTCTTCCCCTGGTTCGTGCAGTACCTCGTCAATGAAGAGGTGAGCCTCGAGAGATTTACCTTGATTGAAGGGTTAGTCTTTCTACGTCTGAGGGGTCCCAAAGACAGTACGTGGGAGGTGCTCAAGGAGCCTTTCTTCCCCTGGTTCGCATGGTTTTGAGTCGACTCAAAACTAGGCTACTTTTTAGTCGACTCAAAACTAGGCTACTTTTGAGTCGACTCGAAATTAGGCTCAAAACACGGATTTGAGTCGACTCAAAGACAGTACGTGGGAGGTGCCCAAGGAGCCCTTCTTCCCCTGGTTCGCACAGTACTGTCAATTTCTATGCTTTAAAGGGGCCACGTGTATGAAGTAATGTTTTGAGACATCTCAAAACATTACTTCATACACGGGGCCTTACTTGGTCGGGCTTGGTGGGACATCTTGTCCATCCTTCTTCCCCTAGTTTAGGGGTACGCGCTATACGCCACCATGAAAACGTCAGTCTCATGTGCCGAAGTGCTTCTATTAGTGACCCAAGAGTGAACCCTCCCTCTGCCATGTGTGCGTGTGTGTGTGCGCGTGTGTGTGTGCGTGTGCGTGTGCATGTGTGTGTGTGCGCGCGCGTTTTGGTGTGTGTGTGTGTGTGTGTGGGTGTGTGCATATGCGTGTGTGTGTGCGGTGTGCGCTTGTGTGTGCCCGCATGCATCAGAGCGAGCATAGAGCCCAACTTTCACGAGCTCTACCTCAAGTTTGTTGACAAGATGGCGGCCAAATCGCTGCAGAAGGAAGTGGTGAAGGCGACCTACGAGAACTGCAAGGTTCTGCTGCGATCAGAGCTGATCCGGTCCAGCAGTGAGGAGCGCTCGCTGCTCAAGAACATCGGCAGCTGGCTGGGCCGACTCACCATTGGCCGGAACCAGCCGCTGCGCGCCAACCAGATCAACCCGAAGAATCTTATCATCGAGGTAACGTGTGGGGTGTGGATATTATATGACTGCGAGAAAGGCTCGTCAAGGTTGGTGTGACTGTGGGACGGATCGGTGTGTGTGCGTGTGGGGAGGGAGAAGGGGGGAAGATGAAGGGATGGGGGGTGGGGTTGAGGGAAGGGCCGGGGAAAGGAGTGTAGTGGGGAGAAAGGTTGGAGGGATGGTTGAGAGGGGGTGTTAGGGTTTGGGTAAGGGGTACCTCTCCGATCCAGCTTTTCATGGCATTTTCGTGTTTGAGTTATTCTGACGTTTGTGTTCCAACCCCCCTACCCCCACCCCACCCCTCCTCCCTCCCACCGTGTATTGCTTCCACCTGCTGTCCTTGCTGTCCTGCCTTATACCCTTTCCCCCATCCCTCCCCCCCGGCTCCTCCCCTACCCCCACCCTTCTTATTTCTGATTCCATGCCGTGCTTCCTGCCCACCCTTCCTTTCGCTCTCTCCCCTCCCCCCTCTCCCCCCCCCGCCCCCCTCGTTTATTCGTTTCTTGCACTATTGAGTTGTGTTCTGAGCCATACCATTTTCTTTCCATGCCTCACCCGGATCCATTCAACTTTCTTTCGTACTCACGCCGTATTCCCAAAGTCCTAAAAACAGCCCCTTTTAGCTCAAATTCTCTCGGACTCACGCTTTATTCCCATCCCCACCCCTTCCAGGCATACGAGAAGGGTCTTATGATTGCCATCATTCCATTCACATCCAAAGTGAGCATTCCTTCGACCTCCACCCACTCTCCCTCTCCCCCCCACCTTTCTCCTCTCCTCCTCTTCGAGTTGGGTCAATAGCCTCCGTTAGGGTTGAGCAAAAAAACGAACACACGTTCGAGGCGAACCGAACAGGTTTTTTTTTTTGGCTTAAAATGTTCGCCGAACAGTGTTCGATGTTCGCCCGAACACGTTCGTGTTCGGGCCGCTGCTGCAATTTGCCCGCGACGAACACGAACAGTGTTCGAGGTTCGCCCGAACACGCCTTCACAGGCGAACGGCGAACACCATTTTTTGCTCAAAGTGTTCGCCGAACCGAACAGTGTTCGGTTCGGCAAACGAAGGTGTTCGTGTAGGGGCGAACACAAACACGTTCGTGTTCGCCACTTGCTCATCCCTAGCCTCCGTTCAGGCATGCTCTCTCGTTCCTTCCTGGTTCCTTCCTGGTTCCCCTCGTCTATGCATGTTTCTCCATGTTTACTCTAAGAAAAAAAATCTCCCCCGTTTGTTCATTTCCTCGTTCCGCCCCCTCCCCCATCTTCTCCCCACTCTTCTCCCCCTACTGCCCCCACTCGCCCCCCTTTCACCCCGCTTCTTTTGTGTGCCCGGCTGTTTTCCCTTCGGTTTGTATCTCGTTCTGCAGGTTATTGAGCCCTGTGCAAACAGCGTGATCTACCAGCCGCCCAACCCCTGGACCGTGGGCATTCTGTGTTGTGACCTCCCCCCCCCCCCCCCCCCTTCCCTTGTGTCCTCCCTCCCCCCATCCTCCCCTCTTCTCCCCCCCTTCCCCCATCTCCCCTTCCTTCGCTCCCCCGTTTTGTTCTTCTGCAGATTCTGGAACCCTGTGCGAACAGTGTGATCTACCAGCCACCCAACCCCTGGACCGTGGGCATCCTGGGTCTGCTGGTGGAGATTTACAGCCTGCCCAACCTGAAGCTCAATCTCAAGTTCGACATTGAGGTATGAGGCCCAATATTGTTTCTTCCCGATTTTGGGTTCCGCAGCCTCTCTACAGCCTCCCCAACGTCAAGCTCAATCTCAAGTTCGACATTGAGGTATGAGGCCCAATATTGTTTCTTCCCGGTTTTGGGTTCCGCAGCCTCTCTACAACCTCCCCAACGTCAAGCTCAATCTCAAGTTCGACATTGAGGTATGAGGCCCAGTATTGTTTCTTCCCGGTTTTGGGTTCCGCAGCCTCTCTACAGCCTCCCCAACGTCAAGCTCAATCTCAAGTTCGACATTGAGGTATGAGGCCCAATATTGTTTCTTCCCGGTTTTGGGTTCCGCAACCTCTTTACAGCCTCCCCAACGTCAAGCTCAATCTCAAGTTCGACATTGAGGTAAGCGCACCTAAAGTTGTTCCCTGGGGTGTTTCTTGGTCAATCCGGTGAACTACCTGGTGAGGGTCCACAGCCCCTCTGCAGCCTCCCCAACCTCAAGCTCAATCTCAAGTTGACATTGAGGTATGCGCCCGTTGTACTTCTTGGTCGAACCGTTGATTTGGAGTGACCTGGTGGGGGGGGGGTCCACAACCCCTCTACCTCTACAGCCTCCCCAACCTCAAGCCCAATCTCAAGTTTGACATTGAGCTAATCGCCCCTCTCCTCGCCTGGTTCCTCTCCTTTCCCTTTCTCCCCGCAGGTGCTGTTTAAAAACCTGGGGATCGAGATGAAGGAGGTGAAGCCGTCGCAGCTGCTAGTTGGGCGGCAGAGGGAGATGGAGGGAAATCCGGACTTCTCAAACAAGGACCTGCTAGCTGCCCACCTATCCGCTGCAGGAGGAGCGGGGGCAGGAGGAGCAGGGTCAGGAAGGGGTTCCCCTCAGCCTCTTGTGCGGTCAGCTGTTGCGTCCCCTGAGCCGCCTGGTCCTGCTGGTAGAGGGGCCATGGGAGTGCCTGGTGCAGGGAAGGCGGAACAGCAGGTTTCACAGTTTCAGCAGCAACAGCAACAGCAGCAACAGCAACAGCAGCAGCAGCAGCAGCAGCAGCAGCAGCAGCAGCAGCAGCAGCAGCAGCAGCAGCAGCAGCAGCAACAGCAGCAACAGCAGCAACAGCAGCAGCAGCAGCAGCAGCAGCAGCAGCAGCAGCAACAGCAGCAACAACAGCAGCAGCAGCAGCAGCAGCAGCAGCAGCAGCAGCAGCAGCAGCAGCAGCAGCAGCAGCAGCAGCAGCAGCAGCAGCAGCAGCAGCAGCAGCAGCAGCAGCAGCAGCAGCAGCAGCAGCAGCAGCAGCAGCAGCAGCAGCAGCAGCAGCAGCAGCAGCAGCAACAGCAGCAGCAGCAGCAGCAGCAACAGCAACAGCAACAGCAACAGCAGCAGCAACAGCAGCAGCAGCAACAGCAGCAGCAACAGCAGCAACAGCAACAGCAGCAGCAGCAGCAGCAGCAGCTGCAGCAACAACAGCAGCAACAGCAGCAGCAACAGCAGCAGCAGGAACAGATGTCAATGCAGCAGCAGCAGCAATCACCGCCACCGCAGCAGTCCCAGCAGCAGCAGCAGTTGTTGCTGCAGCAGTCGCAGCAAGCTGGTGCCAAGGCTGCTGTTCCGGTATGGATATAACCGAACCTCATTTCTCAACAACACTTCTCATTCTCTATACATCACCCCACCCCCTTCCCCTCGCTCTCCCCCGCCCCCCGCCCCCACCTCGTCCCTACCCCACTTCCGTCTGCCCTCTTTTCACTAGCCACCCGCCCCTCCCACTTCTCACCTGTGTTGTCCTTCCGTTCCATCTTAGTACCCCATTTTCGGTCAACTCATTTCTTGCTGCTCCTTAACCCTTTTTTTTTTTTTTTTTTTTTTTTTTTTAAATCTCACGTACCCCCCATGCCTGCCGCTGGTTTTCCCACCATCTTCCACCTTCACCAACCCCTCCCCACCCCCCAATTAACGCCCCCCCTTCCCAGTCATCGGTGTTGCTGCCCAACCTGGCATCCTACATCGTCATCAGCCCCAAGCTCGCTCCAGTGGCACAACAGCTGCAGCTCGCAAGGTGAGCACTCCCCCCTATCTCCCCCCACCCCTCTAAACGCCTTGCCCTTCCTTCCCATCCATCGGTACAGGTGTTCTACATCGTCATCTGCCTCACGCTTGCTCCATTATCCTCCCCAGGATCGTGCCTGCGTGCATGGACCGTACAGTGAGAGAGATTGTGTCGCTAATCCACCTGAAATTCACTCTTCCCCTCGGTCTTTTCACGGTGTTGTGTTGTGCTCCCAGGATCGTGCCTGCGTGCATGGACCGGGCGGTGAGGGAGATTGTGTCGCCAGTGGTGGAGAGGAGCTGCAGCATTGCGTGCATGACCACACGCGAGCTGGTGCTCAAGGTGAGTTGTTTCCACGGTGGTGGTATATATGTATGTATATATATATATATATATATATATATATGTATATATATATATATGTATGGTGTTTTTTGGTTTTGTTTTTGTTTTTTTTTTCATCTGCTTAATATTGCCCTTGCATCACCTCTTCTGCTGCGTCCCTCATCCCACCCCTGTCTGAGCAGGACTTTGCAATGGAGGCGGACGACAGCCGCACACAGAAGGCAGCTAACCTCATGGTGGCAAGCCTCGCGGGCAGTCTGGCGCTCGTCACGTGCAAGGTGGGGTGTGGTGGGGTGTGGTGTCTGGTGGTTATGTGTGGTGGTGGGGTGTATGATGTGGTGTACGGTCATGGCAGCAGAAGGCAGCCAACCTCATGGTGGCGAGCCTGGCGGGAAGTCTGGCGCTCGTCACGTGCAAGGTGGGCTTTGTGGTGGTTGTGTGCGGTGCTTTGGTGCTGGGATCTATGCGGTGCGGTGGGTGTGTGTGGTGATCCGATGGGATGTATGATGTGGGGTGTGCGGTGCGGTGTGGTGTGTGTGTGTGTGTGGTGGTGGGTTGTTCGTTCGCATCTTCTGTCACTCACCTCCTCCGTTTGCTCGCCATATCTGTCTCACCCCTCTTCCGCTCGCCCGCACAGGAGCCCCTGCGTGTGGCAATGGCGAACCACCTGAGAACGGCTCTCACCTCTCCCGCACCTCCCACCCCGCCCTCCCCTCCCAACCCCCCCCCCCCCCAACCCCTTCCACGCCTCCCACCCTTCCCGCTCGTCCCAACAGGAGCCTCTGCGTATGGCGACGGCAAACCACCTGAGGACGCTTCTGCAGGCAGCCCTGGCAGGGGCGGAGCTTGAGCAGGTGGCTCAGCTGCTGACCCCTCCTCCCCTCTCTTTTCTTGTCCGTGCCCTTTCCTCCCACCCCTCCCACCCCACTTATGCCTCCCATTCGCCCGCACAGGAGCCTCTGCGTGTGGCAATGGCGAACCACCTGAGGACGCTGCTCCAGGCGGCACTGGCAGGGGCGGAGCTGGAGCAGGTGGCTCAGCTGCTGGTCAGCGACAACCTCGACCTGGGGTGTGCCGTCATTGAGAAGGCCGCCAGTGAGAAGGTGAGAGTTGGTTGCTGGGTGTTGCTGTGACTTGGTAGTACTTGGCTCAGGTGTCATCAGCTGGAGCATGTGGCTCAGCTGCTGGTCAGCGACAACCTCGACCTGGGGTGTGCCGTCATTGAGAAGTCCGCCAGTGAGAAGGTGAGAGTTGGTTGCTGGGTGTTGCTGTGACTTGGTAGTACTTGGCTCAGGTGTCATCAGCTGGAGCATGTGGCTCAGCTGCTGGTCAGCGGCAACCTCGACCTGGGGTGTGCCGTCATTGAGAAGTCCGCCAGTGAGAAGGTGAGAGTTGGTTGCTGGGTGTTGCTGTGACTTGGTAGTACTTGGCTCAGGTGTCATCAGCTGGAGCATGTGGCTCAGCTGCTGGTCAGCGGCAACCTCGACCTGGGGTGTGCCGTCATTGAGAAGTCCGCCAGTGAGAAGGTGAGAGTTGGTTGCTGGGTGTTGCTGTGACTTGGTAGTACTTGGCTCAGGTGTCATCAGCTGGAGTGGAGCATGTGGCTCAGCTGCTGGTCAGCGGCAACCTCGACCTGGGGTGTGCCGTCATTGAGAAGTCCGCCAGTGAGAAGGTGAGAGTTGGTTGCTGGGTGTTGCTGTGACTTGGTAGTACTTGGCTCAGGTGTCATCAGCTGGAGCATGTGGCTCAGCTGCTGGTCAGCGGCAACTTGGATCTTGGGTGTGCCGTTATTGAGAAGGCTGCCAGTGAGAAGGTGAGAGGCGTTTGCGAGTGCTGTGACGTTGTTGGCTCAAGTGAAAGTCACCAGCTGAAGCAGGTGGCTCAGCTGCTGGTCAGCGACAACTTGGATTTAGGGTGTGCCGTTATTGAGAAGGCTGCCAGTGAGAAGGTGAGAGGCGTTTGCGAGTGCTGTGACGTTGTTGGCTCAGGTGAAAGTCACCAGCTGAAGCAGGTGGCTCAGGTGCTGGTCAGCGACAACCTTACCTGGGGTGTGCTGTTATTGAGAAGGCTGCCAGTGAGAAGGTGAGAGGCGTGTGCAAATGCTGTGACTTGATACTTGACTCAGGTGAACCGTAAAAGTCACCAGGTGGGGCGTTGCAGCTGCTGGTCAGCAGTAACCCTGACCTGCAGTGAGAGGCCCTCGGCGCGGCCTACTACGATTCGTCCATTTACTCCCAGGGCAGCCTCGCCCACATTCCAGAGGCGCCCTCTAGAACTTCATTTTTCCCTTCCAGTCCAGCTCACCAAGCAGAGAGAGGCACTGGGAGCTGCCTACTACAATGCGTCCATTTACTCCCAGGGCAGCCTCGCCCGCATTCCAGAGGCGCTCAGTCGGACCTCCTCTTTTCCTTTCAGCCCACCAAACAGTGGGAGCTGCCTACCATGACGAATATTGAAATCGCTTTTGAGAATTCTCAAAAGTGATTTCAATATTGCCTAACATTCTAATTCATCTACTCCCAGGGCACTCTCGCCTGCATCCCAGAGGCTCTCAGTCTGACGGACCTCCTTCCACCTTGTCCTCACCTCCTCTTTCTCTTCTCTCCTCCCTCCTCTGCTTCTTCTCTCTTCCCCCTCCCCCCATCCACAGGCTGTGCGCGATTTAGAAGAGGTACTGGGGCCAGCACTAGCCATGCGGCGCAAGCAGCGGGAGGCACTGGGAGCTGCCTACTATGATGCATCCATCTACTCCCAGGGCAGCCTTGCCCGCATCCCAGAGGCCCTCAGGCCCAAACCCGGGCGGCTCACGCTGGTCCAGCAGAGAATCTATGAGGATTTCGCGCATCTGCCCTGGCAGGGGCAGGTGCCTCAGGCGGGAGCGGCGGCTGCTGCTGCTGCTGCTGTGCTGGGCGGGGCTGGAGGGGCGGGGCAGGGCGGGCAGCAGATGGGGCAGGGCGGGCAGGGGCAGATGGTGCTTGGGCAGGGGCAAGGACAGGGGCCGCAGCAGGTGGGGCAGCAGGGGCAGCAACAGGTGGGTGGAGTGGTTGGTGGTGGTGCTGCTGGTGGGGGCATGGGAGGGATGATTTCGGGGCTGCCTGGATCGTCCATGTCTCCTGTCCCGTATGGTGCCTCTCAGCAGCAGCAGCAGCAGCAGCTAACAGTTCACGATCAGCAGGCACAAGCACAGGCTCAGGCACAGGCACAGGCACAACAGCAGCAGCAGCAGGCGGGGATGGGTTTCCAAGGGGTACCAGGAGCAGCAGGAGCAGCAGCAGGAGGAGCGGCTCAGCTGATCACCGCCAATTCCGCCTCGCCCTCGCCTGCCCAGCTGATCGCATCAGAAATCGAAAGACCCGGCTCCGCAGCAGCAGCAGCAGCTGCTGCAGGTGGTGTGGGCGCCCCTGGCATGCCCCTTGGTGCGCCGGGCGCGGCTCCTGGCTCTGTCCCTGGTAGTGGTATCCCTGGCGCTGCTTCTGGCGCTGCTAGCGCGGTGGCAGGCCCCCCTGGGTTGGCCAAAATCCCGATGGTTGCGGAGGGTCCTCTGGCGTATGCTGGGAGCCCTGCTCCTCCCATGGACCTCCCAGGCCTCAACCAGCAGGTGCGTGGATGAATGATGGATACATGGACGATTGGCTCATATGTAGGATGTAACCGTGGATTCATGTGCCCTCTTCCTTGTCTTTCCCTCTTCTCAGCTTGCCCTCCTTCCCTTTTTGTGTCTCCCTTACGTTGCACGCACGTGTCTTGCCTGCGATGCATGTGTGCAGGTGGATTCATCAGCGTTGCCACAGTCAGCTAACGCTCCTCCCGACCACGAGATCAAGGCAAGTTCTGCATCCAAGTCATTCAACCTGACTTCGTTTCACACCCCCACGCCACGGGTTACTTGATTGGAACCGTTGTGAGTCACAGGGAATGCCGCAAGAGACTTGCCTAAGTTCACATGACGCTGTTTTCAACGCACACTTTAGTGCGGTGCGGGTGAGCAAGGCAGCAGCAGGGGAGGCCAAAGCGACAACGTTGCCATTTCAAATCTGTTCTTGCCCACTTTTCTCCTCCCTTCTCCCCCACTCTTCCCCCTCCCTCCCCCCCCCCATCCCCCCCTCAGGCGCAGGCGGTGGCGCTGTTTGATGACTGGGTGCGGGTGAGCAAGGCAGCAGCAGTCAGCAAGCAAACTCAAAATCTCCTTCCTCCACCGTTCTTCCCTCATCTCTCCCCTTTCCCACACCCCCCTCAGGCGCAGGCAGTGGTGTTGTTTGACAACTGGGTGCGGGCGAGCGAGGCGGCGGGCAATAATCAGCCATTCCTCATGACCTGACCACAATACCTCTCCCTTTGCCCCCCCGCCCGCAGGCGCAGGCAGTGGCGTTGTTTGACGACTGGGTGCGGGTGAGCGAGGCGGCGGGCAGCAACGACAAGGCAGTGGTGGTGTTTCTCTCGCAGCTGCAGCACTCCTCGCTGCTCGCCTCAGAGGACGCCGCTGAGAGGCTCTTCCGCACGCTCACAGACATGGTCGTCGCGCACTGCCTCGCCTCCTCCCAGCCTCTCAACCCGCCCCCGCCTGCCGCCCCTGGGAGCGGCCAGGTGCCGCCGGCCCGAGGGCTGAATTTCACGGCTGTCGACATGTTCAGCCGCCTCGTGGTTCTGCTTATCAAGGTAGGCTCTTCCGCACGCTCACAGACATGGTTGTCGCGCGCTGCCTCGCCTCCTCTCAGCCGCTCAACTCGGCCCTGCCTGCTGTCCCTGGGAGTGGCCAGGTGCCGCCGGCCCGAGGGCTGAATTTCACGGCTGTCGACATGTTCAGCCGCCTCGTGGTGCTGCTTATCAAGGTAGGCTCTTCCACACGCTCACAGACACGGTGGTCTCCCCACTGGCCGTCCCTGGGAGTGGCCTGGTGCCGTCAGCCCGTGGGCTGAATTTCACGGCTGTCGACATGTTTCAGCCGCCTTGTGGTGCTGCTTATCAAGGTACGCCCTGTAGGGATCACTGCTTGTGGCTGTTTCCCTCACCCCACCCCACCTTATCAAGGTACGCCTCTGAGCAAGGTGAATTTGCTGAACAAAGGTGCATTCACAGATGCTCATGGGCGAGCGTGGGAGGCGTACTTCTCACCTCGCACGGGGGGCAGATGCTCGCCGCGACCCTGCGATGGCGAGTGAGGGAAATCGTCAATGAGGTCTGCGGATGTTCGATGGTGGGGAAGAAGTTCAAGGTTAAGATTGAGCCGAGCAAGCGAAGCGAAGTGGATAGACTATCTGGTGGCGATAGGCATGATCTCTCCACCAGATAGTTTCTCCACTTCGTTTCTTTTGCTCGGCTCAATCCCAACTCTGAACTTCTCCCCCACCATCGAACATTCGCAGACCCCATTGACGATCTGCTTCGCTCGCCGTCGCACGCCAGGGATCATAGGGTCGTGGTGAGCATCTGCCTCCGTGCGAGGTGAAAAGTACGACTCCCACGCTCGTCCATGAGCATCTGAGAAGAATTATGAGGACTTGGGGGACAAATCGAATCTGAGCAAGGTGAACTGCTGAACAAAGTGCTGCCGGGCTTGGCGAGGGTCATCCACCGCCAGGCCGACGAGCGTCGCCTCACCCCCTTCCACCGCTCTCCACCGCTTCCCACCCATTTGAACCCCTCCCTGCCCCTTCCCACCCATTCCCACCGCTCTCCACCCCTGGAACTGACAGTACTACATGGATTTGGGGGGCAACGCGAATCTGAGCAAGGTGAATCTGCTGAACAAGGTGCTGTCGGGCGTGGTGAGGGTCATCCACCGCCAGGCCGACAAGCGCCACCTCACTCCCTTCCACCACTCTCCACCTCTTCCCACCCATGCGCACCCCTCTATGCGCCTCTCCACTCATTCCCACCGCTCTCAACCCCTGGCAGTACTACGTGGATTTGGGAGGCAATGCGAATCTGAGCAAGGTGAATCTGCTGAACAAGGTGCTGTCGGGCGTGGTGAGAGTCATCCACCGCCAGGCCGACGAGCGCCGCCTCACCAACCCTCGCCCCTTCTTCCGCCTCCTCGCCAACCTTCTGATCGACTTGAACGCGCCGGATCCCAACTTTGATGCCGCCACTCACCAGGTGAGGCAGGAATACTGAACAGTTCGGGAAGATATGGAGGGGGAATTGGGGTGGGGCAGGAGAGCATCACTGCAGACTCCTGCCTTTCCAATTTCTGTCCTTTCAATACCTATTCCTCAAATTCCTGTCGTTTCAATTCCTGTCGCTGTGGTTCCTTTTCATCAACTCCTGTTTCCTCCTGTCCCTCCCATCAGGTGCTCACCACCCTGGCGGCCACCTTCCATGCTCTGCAGCCTCTTCGAGTGCCCTCGTTCAGGTGAGAAGCAGAGGGCTGGCCGGGCTGATGGCTGGGCATGGGCGTGAGTGTGAGGGTGAGTGAATGGGTGGGCGTGCGCATGGATGTGGGGATGGGTGTGTGGGTGGGCGTGAGTATGGGCGTGAGTGTGGGGGTGGGTGTGTGGGTGCTTGTCTGGCTAGTTGAAGGCTTTTCACCCAAAGCTTGACAACCCTTGCGATTGCAGTCCATGTACTGCACTTGGTTGCACCGCACTGCACTGCATTGCACTGCATTGCACTGCACTTTATTGCTCTTCCTGGCACACCCACAACTCTTCCACCACCCATTATCCCTCCTGCTTCCCTTCCCTCCCTCCCCCTGCCAGCTTCGCATGGTTGGAGCTCATCTCCCATCGCTCCTTCATGCCCAAGCTGCTGCTCTTCCCCGGGCAGAAGGGGTGGCCCTGGTTCCAGCGCCTGCTGCTCTCACTCTTTAAATTCATGGAGCCGTACCTCAGGGATGCAGAGCTCAGCGACCCGGTAAGTGTACTGTAACGCTATGGCTTGTCACTGAGAGAGCCCAGTGGCTGGGTTGGTAAGGTTGGTCTTTCAGCCCTCAGTTCCTGGAGTGGGTTGGTGGGTTCCAGCGTCTGCTGCTCTCTCTCTTCAAGTTCATGGAGCCGTATCTCAGGGATGCAGAGCTCAGCAACCCGGTGAGTGTTTCTAGACGAGCCTAGACGGGCTCCTAACTGTTTGGAAGCCACTTAGCTGTTCCTGCTGTTACCCTCCTCCGTTGCCTTACTCTGAGCTCGCTCATTTTCGCGCTGTTCTCGATATTGGCAGATCCGCTTGATGTACAAGGGAGCTATCCGCGTGCTGCTGGTGCTGCTGCATGATTTCCCCGAGTTCCTCTGCGACTACCACTTCAGCTTCTGTGACATCATCCCCCCCACGTGCATTCAAATGCGCAACCTGGTGCTATCCGCCTTCCCGCGCAACATGCGTCTCCCCGACCCCTTCACACCCAACCTCAAGGTGAGCTGCGATGGCTAACTGTTGTTGGTGTGTTCTTTCTGTGTGCTTTCTGGCACCTTACCACACTGCACCACACACACCACTCCACCATCCCATCATCCCCCCCACGTGCATCCAAATGCGCAACCTCGTGCTCTCCGCCTTCCCCCGCAACATGCGCCTCCCGGACCCCTTCACACCCAACCTTAAGGTGAGCTGGTGGAGAGTTAGTCAGGTTGGTGCGTTGGTAGGCTGGCTTTGTCAGCTGGCCAGCAGGGTTGGTGTGGTCTCAGTGTGGGCCTGGGTACTCTGCATTACATCCAGTGGACTGGTTTTGAGACGTCTCAAAACAATACTTTATCACGCAGCTGACCAGCAGGCTTGGTGTGGTCTCAGTGTGCGTCTGGGTACTCTGCATTACATCCTGTGGACTGGGACTGTCAGCACACTACCCCACGCACTGCACCACCATCCCATCATTCCCCCCACCTGCATTCAAATGCGCAACCTGGTGCTATCCGCCTTCCCGCGCAACATGCGTCTCCCCGACCCCTTCACACCCAACCTCAAGGTGAGCTGCGATGGCTAACTGTTGTTGGTGTGTTCTTTCTGTGTGCTTTCTGGCACCTTACCACACTGCACCACACCACACCACTCCACCATCCCATCATCCCCCCACGTGCATCCAAATGCGCAACCTCGTGCTCTCCGCCTTCCCCCGCAACATGCGCCTCCCGGACCCCTTCACACCCAACCTTAAGGTGAGCTGGTGGAGAGTTAGTCAGGTTGGTGCGTTGGTAGGCTGGCTTTGTCAGCTGGCCAGCAGGGTTGGTGTGGTCTCAGTGTGGGCCTGGGTACTCTGCATTACATCCAGTGGACTGGTTTTTGAGACGTCTCAAAACAATACTTTTTATCACGCAGCTGACCAGCAGGCTTGGTGTGGTCTCAGTGTGCGTCTGGGTACTCTGCATTACATCCTGTGGACTGGGACTGTCACCAACTACCCCACGCACTGCACCACCATCCCATCATTCCCCCCACCTGCATTCAAATGCGCACCTGGTGCTCTCCGCCTTCCCCCGTAACATGCGCTCCCCGACCCCTTCACACCCAACCTCAAGGTGAGCTGAACTGGTGACCAGGTTGTGTGCTGGTAGGCTAGTTGT